TTACCATCTTTCTAAATTCCATATATATGCGTTAGTATACTGTATTGATCTTTATCTTTCTGGCTTACTTCACCCTGTATAATGGGCTCCAGTGTCATCCATCTCATTAGAACTGATTCAAATGAATTCAATGGCTGAGTAATATTCCAAAGTGTATATGTACCACAGCTTCCTTATCCATTTGTCTGCTGATGGGCATCTAGGTTGCTTCCATGTCCTTGCTATCATAAACAGTGCTGCAGTGAATACTGGGGTACTCTTTCAGTTCTGGTTTCCCCAGTGTTAGGCCCAGCAGTGGGATTGCTGGGTTGTATGGCAGTTCTAGTTCCAATTTTTAAAGGAATCTCCACACTGTTCTCCATAGTGGCAAAACCAGTTTGCATTCCCACCAACAGTGTAAGAGGATTCTCTTTTCTCCACACCCTCTCCAGTATTTATTATTTGTGGACTTTTTGATTGTGACCATTCTGACCGGTATGAGATGATACCTAATTGTGGTTTTGATTTGCATTTCTCTGATGATCAGCAATGTTGAGCATTTTTTTCTCAAGACTAATTGCCTGTTAGCCTTCTGTATGTCTTCTTGGGGGAAAAGTGTCTATTCAGGTCTTCTGCCTATTTTTAAATTGGGTTGTTAATTTTTCTACATTGAATTGAATGAGCTGTCTATATGTTTTATATCTGTCCCTTATAGGTCATATCATTTGCAAATATTTTCTTGCCTTCAGTAGCTTGTCTGTCTCTTTTGCTGATGCTTTCTTTTGCTGTGTAAAAGCTTTTAAGTTTAATTAAGTCCCATTTATTTTTGCCTTTGTTTCCTTTGCCGTGTCAGACAGATTCAAAAAAATATTGCTATGATTTATGTCAGAGTGTTCTGCCTATATTTTCTTCTAAGAGTTTTATGGTTTCTGATCTTCCATTTATGTCTTTAATCCATTTTGGTTATTTTTGTATATGCTATGTGAAAATGTTCTAATTTTATTCTTTTATGTGTAGCTGTCCAAGTTTTCCAGTACCATTTATTGAATAGACTGTCTTTTCTCCATTGTATCTTAATGCTTCCTTTGTCATAAATTAATTGGTCATAGGTGTGTGGGTTTATTTCTGGGCTCTCTATTCTGATACATGTATTTGTTCTTGTGCCAATACCATATTATTTTAACTACTGTAGCTTTGTAGTATAGTCTGAAGTAAGGCAGCATGCTAACTCCAGCTTTGTTCTTTTTCCTCAAGATTGTTTTCACTAAAAATCCTTAAAGAAATTAAAAATTATGCTTAATTTAATATCAGATCAGGAGAGGCAGGGAGAAAAACCAGCAAAATAACAATAGAAATTATTCATATGCATGTTTTATGTCTTTTCTACAAACAATAGAAGAGAGTGTACTCTTCTTCTTTCCAGCATGACAGTAAATCAAACACTCTTGATTTAAAGAGCTATAAATGACAACTTGTAGTTTTAATGTAGTTTGACAGCTGTTTGACAGTTATTATTTACTGAGGTGGAAGAAGACTCTTCAAGGAACTGATTTAAGGAGAGTGAGACAGAAGAGGAACAAAAGCTAATACACGTTCAATTGTTATAGAGCAGGCCACTGCTTACAAAAAACACAGATCTATCTGGAAAGGCCAGATGGAACCACACATCTTGGAACAGCCTTTGAGGATGAGGAGTGACAGTGAGACATTTACCTCTGGTTCCTGGACCTGTCCTTCATTGTTCAAAGTTTATCCCGCAGGGTATTAATTCCTCCTTTTTTTTTTTTTCCAGGCTGCATTTCTCAGTTCTTCAGGGTGATCAGTGGGTGTAGTGCTTCTTCCAGGCTGATAAGTGGTGGGAGAAACCAGATCCCCTATGGCAGGCTTGGGGGAAGGATGCAGTCCTTTCTCCCCAGAAGACTGAGACAGTGGTCAGAATGAGGCAAGGAGGCGGATGGGTGAGTCTGGACCCACAGCACACGTGCTGCGCTGTTCCTGCCTAGGAGCCTCAGGCTGTCTGGGAAGAGAAACTACCATGGAGATGGGAGCGGGTTCAGCGCCAGCAGCTGCAGAAACATAAGCATGCATCTGACCAAATCTAGGCATGAGTACATCAGGAACAGTGCACATACTGAGTCCAATTAATCATCTACGCATCACCTTTCAACTCATTTGTAATGGGCTGAATGTTAACGTTCCCTCAAAATTTCTGTGTTGAAATACTAACCTTTCATACGATGGTATTAGAAGGTGAGCCTTTGGGCAGTGAATGGAGCATGAGAGGGGAGCCCCCATGAATGGAATTCGTGTCCTTTTATAAGAGACCAGATCGTCCTTTTACCCTTCTGTCTTGAAAGGACACAGCAAGAAGACTATCTTTGAACCAAGAAGCAGACCATTACCAGATGCCAAACCTGCTGGCACCTTGATCTTGGACTTCCCAGCCTCTAGAACTGTAAGAAATAAATGTCTGTTGTTTTTAAGTTGCTCAGTTTATGCTCTTTTATTATACCAGCCCAAATTAAGACACCACTTCATTTTGGCTTTTGTTCGTAATAAAAAACACAAATGAATTCCATTTCTATAAATCAAATGACTCTTCATCAACATTTGACAGATCATAACTCCAATCCTTGGCACAACCTTCTATTTCCCTGGATTCTGTGGCTGCTTCACTGAGGCTCTGGGCTTAACTCCAAGCTCTATGACTATTATTTCTCAGTCTCCTTGCCTGACTGTTCTTTTCTAAGATCCTTTATACTTATAACTAACTTAAGTATGAGGAATATATGATACAGATATAGTTCAAAAGTCAAAACATATATTGTTCTGCATGGAGAAGTTTATATCTCAGACTGCATCAACCCTGGGTTAACATCTCTTTATTCAGATTACTATCCAGTTGTCCCAGCACCATTTATGGAAAGTCTATTTGTGCCCCCTTTGCTGATTTGATGGCCACCTTGAACTACATTCCAAAGAATTTTGGGTTCTCCTTCATGGACTTTCTCCACAGGCATGATTATTTATCCAATACCTACTTTTTCACTAGACTGTAAGTGACATGAGGGTAAGCACTGTGTCTATTTATATTGCCCATATTCTCAGAGCTTAGAACAGTGCCTGGCATATAGGAGGTACTCAATATATGTTTGTTGTATTTAGAATGTTTATGAAGTCCTAGGAAAAGGTTTCCCTTTTTCCCACAAACGTGTTTAAAGATAATTAAGTATTTTAATATAATAGTAAATATTTAACAGAACATGAAAATAAATAAATCATGGTATGCAATATATAATATTATGTGCCTCATTTGAGGCACTTTAAGCAAAGTGTTAACATATTTTAACCAAAAACATTTGATTCAGTCTAGATGTTAACAGGAGTCAATGAATATTGAAATGTTAATGTCTTAGACAGGATAATTACAAGTGTTATTACACACAAATAAGATAAAATCAGTTTTTATATACAGTAGATACTGGGGCTTTGAAGATGCAATGTTCATTTCATTCTTTAATCCATTTCTAAGTAACCTAAGGGGCCCCAAAATATCCAACCTGTTGTAATTTTTCTGGGTAGCATGATTTTGAAATAGAACCAAATAGCCTAGCTCAGCCTAGTTCACCGGGCTCCCATATCTGCTTTTCACTGCAATTTTGCTGTTCTCTCACTGATGTTTGACTTCATTTGATCCTCACAATAAATATACTAAGTGGCACATTCTCTCCTTTTTACAGATGAAGAAAATCAAATAATTATACACTATGAGTGGCAAAGAATTGGGAGATTTGTATAAATCTCAGAATATGTTCATTGTAAATGTAAATAAGCTACTGTATTTAAAGAGTACAGCATTCCATTGTAGAATTATTAATACATTCAAACAACTTTATTTCATCCTTCACTGGCAAAACAGCAACACAAAACAGAAAAATAGCATGCAGCTTCAATAGTTAGGCAAATATTGAATACATCTCAAAAAACAGATATCTATGAGACAGTAAATAGCTAACTAAACATTAAATAATAATAACCTATTTTAAAACAGTTGTAATAGGGAAAAAATAAAACAAAAACCCAAGATCTCTCTCCACTATTTAGCAACTGATGCTATATTTCCCCATTCCTTATTATTCAGGTAACAATTATATGGATGTATATACATATGTACGTGTGGCATTTTTACTTTTTTAAAGGCACTGAATTTAAAATTCTTAATTCTAGGCAAAGCAAACTCATTAAGAATAAAAGGTTCTGTGATACACACTTTACCACACTGTTCAAAAGAAAAGAACACATTACTGGAAGGTAAAAGGTGAGGACTTAATCCAACTGTTAACATGAATTCATTATATTATTACACCAAATGAATTTGTACAAGTCACACAGCTTCTCTGGTTATGTGAAAAACTTGCAAACTAAGGGAAATTTTCAATTACATCCTTAATATCCACTCAGAATTTAAATAATCTAAAATCCTATTGTTCTATGATCTGTCTCTAAGCAGACCACTCTTTATGACTATCTAAATTAAAATTGTCACTATTAGCTGATTACATTTGCCAGAATAAACACTAGCAATAAAAGAGTATCTTAATTTTAAAGTCTATGGCAGACTTAAAAAAAAATTGAGTGAAACTGAAAGAATCCTGCAAAACAACTTTATAATAGATGAGAATATAATTTCATGTTGCAGTTATATACATAACAGAATTTCAGCTGAACACCTTAAGTTCATTTGATTCTGTAAAATAGACTAAATCAATAAACCTAATTTTTCTTGGAAATTGTATAGATTTTGCAGCAAGTGTTAAACTGCCATATCCAATAGTCTGAAAAATACATATTATTATTAAACAGTATAAATCTGCCAGGCGCCTTAAAAAGAGCTGATAACAGTTAACTCCGTTTGACCTTATGATGCTGCATGGAGTTCTTAGAATCCAGGAGTTTAATTCCACTGGCATGTGCAGTCTATAGGTTCCTGGAGAGTGTGCAGGACTTCAGTGCCATTGCCTGAGCAATAGAGTGGCACAGTCAAGTTGCGCACCCCGTTTTCACGACAACACTTACAGAATCTTAGATGGCTCTCAATATTGATGTTATATATGGTAGCTGATGGGCATTTTCCATCACAAGATGCAACGTTTATCTGTAAGGAGAAACAATGAGAAAAATGTCTTAAAACTTTTAAAACAGTGATTTTGATTCCACTAAGGTAGAGTCCCTTGGACAGCAAGGAGATCCAACCAGTCCATCTTAAAGAAATCAGTCCTGAATATTCATTGGAAGGACTGATGCTGAAGCCGAAACTCCAATACTTTGGCCACCTGATGAGAACTGACTCATTTGAAAAGACCCTGACGCTGGCAAAGATGGAAGGTGGGAGGAGAAGGGGACAACATAGGATAAGACGGTGGGATGGCATCACCAACTCAAAGGACATGGGTTTGAGTAAGCTCCAGGAGTTGGTGATGGACAGGGAGGCCTGCCATGCTGCAGTCCATGGGGTCGCAAAGAGTTGGACACGACTGAACGACTGAACTGCACTGAAGGTAGCATATTGATTGTCCAAGATGGCAATCTAACATAACTCCAAGAATGAAACATGCACACATAACTAGATAGATCTATGGAATACATTAATCACAATTCTAATGATTCTATTTAAGTTGTATCATATCACAACTAAGTAGACTACAGAATCATATAGGTCTTGTAAAAGTGGACAAGCTTAGACATAAGACTATTTTTGCTAATTAAAATTGCATACTTAAGATAATATATGGTCAAGTATATTTAGATTTAAATTTCCATCTCTCTAGATTGAAATTATCATTCAGAACTGTTGATTGTTTATGCCAAGAATAAATTTGCACTTCTTCACAAACAGAATATGTCAATATTAGAATGTAGGAATAATCTCAAAGTTAAATATTTTAACGGTTGGCATTTTGTTTGCTTACAAACTTATCAGTGCTGACACACATATACTTCCGAAAAGACAGAACCTGTAATAACAAATTAAATTTATCCACTTACAGAGCTTTGACTTATACAGTCCTGTTTCCTTATAATTGACTTAATAATGACTTTCTGGCATATTCTTTCTTCTCGTTTGCCTGATAAAACATAGAATGTATTTATTCAACCAAAGGTTCATGTCAAATTGTTTCTTAATTCAATTAAACACATGAATATATTTAAAATTGAGAACTGATATATTTATATGAAATATATTTCTACAATGAGATAGTTTATGTAGTTTATGTTCAATATTTATTTTCAATTTCTAAATAGATTTTCTCACATATTATCTAGCTTTATATATATATATATCTCTTTACCTTATTGTTTTAGAATAATTATCACAATCATAAATCAAACATATTCCACACATGAAGTAATGCTAACATCAATCTGTGTGTGCAGTGTATATTTTAATATTATACATAAAAAAAATCTTAAGTACAAAACAAAAGACTCAGCTTGAGCAAGAATGAGCATAAGAGGAACCAGAGATCAAATTACCAAAATCCAAAAGATGCTCAAAAAAGCAAGAGAGTTCCAGAAAAACATCTATTTCTGCTTTATTGATTACGCCAAAGCCTTCAACTGTGTGGATCACAATAAACTGTGGAAAATTCTGAAAGAGATGGGAANTTCAGTTACTTGTTTTCGCAGGTACTAGATCAGGATCTGTCCTTGCTCCCAAGTGTATGCAGTCTGCCTGCCACAACGTTGTTCCCTAGCATATGGCCAAGTCCCTCATGTAAGTAAATGATAAAGATTTTTAAAATCTGAATCTTGTTTGCCCCATTTACCACTAATACTCAACTTGAACTCAGTTCAAATCAGCTGGATGACATTGATAAAATATAAAATATATGCCACTTATATTTCTGATGCTTCAGGATGTTCTGTGGTTAGGATCCTATGTTTTGGTTTTCATGCAGACATGTGTTCATGACCCCAGTTTTCTTAGCATTAGTTTTCTCCATTGGAAAATAGATTTTATAATAATACCTGCTTGTTGTTATAGAGCAAGAAAGCACTGTAATTAAGAGGGGATTTAAATAATGACACCATCACATGTCACTTGTGAAAACTTGGGCAAAGAACTCAGTCTCACTAAGCCTCAGTTTCCTATTCTGTACAAGGAGATGACTGTACCTACTAAAAAGGGTCTTTGCAAGGATAAAATTAAGTAATCTGTAATCCATTTAAAACACTTAGCATGCTGTCTAGAACCTAGTGAGACCTAAATAAATGCTAACTATTATGATTGTGACTCATAGAATTTTAGGGATTAAGGGAGATAATTCCATATAAAACACATAGCATCATTCCTAGAACCAAGTAAGCATTCAGAAAGTGTTGGCTATCCATATTATTTCCATATATAGTCAACTTTTCACCATGCAAACCAATGTTTGTGTAATTCATTTACTTTGTTCCCTCTCCTATCGCAGCCTTGATCTGTGGTTAAATCTCTCATTGCTATTTTACTTTGTATATTTCTAGTCTTGCCTCCCTAGCCAGAGTAAAAACTCAGAGCAAGCAGTAAAATTTCCTGCACACAGTAGATGCTCACCTTGTAGTTATTTTGGTTTATTGATAATTCTATTACTCTTAAATAGTTTTTAGATAAACATATGGTAAGATGAAAGGAACTATACCACTTACTATGGCCAGTCAAGGGATCACCAAGCCCATGAAAAGAAAGTGTCATCTAATTTCAGAATAACTGGCCAAGAGGATGAGATGGTTAGATAAAATCAGTGACTCAATGGATGTGATTTTGAGCAAACTCTGGGAGATAGAGAAGGACAGGGATGCCTGGCATACTGTATGGAGTCACAAAGAGTTGGACAAGACTTATCGACTAAACAACAAGCTGAGAGTCAATTCTGGCTCTTTGCTTTCTAAGACTCCCTAAGTCATGCCTGATTTACTACTATTATGTTTATTAAAAAAAACATGAGGAATCTTGCTAAAGTTCTATTTTATATTTTGTCTTTTTTTAAAAAACTGAAATCCTACATCATACTTTCCCTTAGAAATTTCAACATCCTAATTAGAAATATTTAGATATTTTGAGTTGCTATTTAGTTCAGCTATTTAGTTGCTTATTTAGTGAATAAGCTCAGATATGCAGATGATACCACCCTTAAGGCAGAAAGCGAAGAGGAACTAAAGAGCTTCTTGATGAGATGAAAGAGGAGAGTAAGAAAGCTGGCTTAAAATTCAACATTCAAAAAGCTAAGATCATGGCATCTAGTCCTACCACTTCATGCCAAATAGATGGGAAACAGTGGAAACAGTGACAGAGTTTATTTTGGGGGGTTCCAAAATCACTGCAAATGGTGACTGCAGTCCTGAAATTAAAAGATGCTTGCTCCTTGGAAGAAAACCTATGACAGACCTAGACAGCATGTTAAAAAGCAGAGACATTACTTTGCCAACAAAGATCTGTATAGTAAAAGCTATGGTTTTTCCAGTAGTCATGTGTGAATCTGAGAGTTGGATTGTAAAGAACTCTGAGCACCAAAAGTCTGATGCTTTTGAACTGTGGTTTTGGAGAAGACTCTTGGGAGTCCCTTGGACTGCAAGAAGATCAAACCAGTCCATCCTAAAAGAAATCAGTCTTGAATATTCATTGGAAGGACTGACACTGAAGCTCAAGCTCCAAAACTTTGGCCACCTGATGTGACGAGCCACTTCATTAGAAAAGACTCTAATGCTGGGAAAGATTGAAGGCAGGAGGAGAAGGGGATGACAGAGGATGAGATGTATGTGGGATGGCATCACTGACTCAATGGACATGAGTTTGAGCAAGATCCGGGAGATGGTGAAGGACAGGGAAGCCTGGCGTTCTGCAGTTCATGGGGTTTCAAAGGGTCCAACATGACTGAACAACAGTCATGAGCTGTTCAGAGCGACTGAACAACAGTAGTCTCTTATATTTGGTTGTTCTCATTCCTGTATCTCCAACGACAGCATGGCCTGAGACTCAGTGGTGGTGACAGAGGGCAAGCTATTTCGTGTCTTATGATGCTTTCACGCATTGGTTACTTCATTAACACTCTTACTGTCATACAAGTTTTAAAAGACTAGTCAAGAAAGAAACATCTTTAACATGACCTATAAGTCCGTAACCTCTTCTGTCCTTTAACCCCTGTCTTGTGACTGCACTTGGCCACTTCCTCCACTGTGAACACTCTCCACTCTTCCCGGCTGGCGCCCGAGGACATTCAGTCTCTACTCAAGTGACACCTCGTCAGAGACACATCCTCTAATCGCCCACTTAAATGAACTACCCAATCCCCCTCCCTCTCCATCCCTTGATTTCTGCACTGTTGTTCTTTGTACCATTCGTCAGTACCCGACTTAACGGTGTGCATTTACCAGTTACTGCTTCCTCCCCTTCTCGATAGCATGCGCTATGCGTGCAGAGATCGTTTCATCCTCTGTCATAGTCCCAGTACCTAAAAGAGTGTCTGCTACATGAGAGGCGCTCAACAAACATTTGCTTGTGTTCATTCATTCAATAAGTGAAACTGGGACATCCTAGCTGATTGAATTTGTTTGTGCCAAGAGCCATTTTCTGTTCATTCCTCAGTGTCTTTATAATTGTAAACACATGTTGCTTAGCATAGTACCTGTGATAATAGCCAACATCTGCAGTCTTTCTGATAAAGCCTGGTCACCCAAAAGCAAAGACTACAGACAGGGGTTCTCTAGTGCCAAAGCAGAAACTACCTCACAGGTTCTTACACAGCAGATTGGAGAAAACGAGGCAGCTTGTTACTATTCTGCAACTTCAAGGAGCTGGGCCAAACTGAACAATCCTGAGGTCAGGGCTTGGAGAGACTTAAGTCTACCACTGATTAGGAGTGTAATCTACTTTTCTGAACCTTTGTTTCCTCAGCTGTAAGGGAAATCATGCCTATTTCCCCACATACTTCCCAGAACTGTGGTCAAGACTGGTTGCCGTGTTATCTGCAATGGGTTTAATAGAGTGTTGGCATGTGGCTGACAATCCATAGTAGTAATATGGTCAGTCAAACAGATATTCCCTTCTCTGCCCTCAGAAAACACAAATATACTCACTTCTCTAATAATAAACATGGGGTTATAGAATTCTTGTGACTAAGAATCCAATGCTACACAATGGCGTTTTTAACCTGAATCCTGTTGAAGTCTTTTTCCCAAAAACTTCTGTAAACAATATTAAAATTACTGTTTATGCCAAATTTTCTAACATTTATATTTTTATCTGGATATAAACTCATAAGTAGTTGAAAAATAAATTCAGAAGCATACAAATGAAAGTTGCACAAATACCCCTCTATTCTATTTCACTTTTAACATGACCTTTAATGTCCTTATCTTCTTTTATCACTTTCATTCCTGTTTTATGACTGCACTTTGCCATTTCCTCTATTTTGAACACTCTTCAAAGGGTGTTATAAAGCACTATGAAATAAACCATATAATTCAAATAAATATAAATTTATGTACAAATATGTTTATTTACATTTATGGGATATTTTATATACATATTATTTAAATATAACTCACTAAATTGGTATTTCTCAAATGTATTAATTATACAGAACCATAGATTTGTTCAAATAGGTTTGGAAAATATCATACTCTCTATGTCCTTATTGGAGTCTCATAACAATTTTGTGTAGTTTAAAGCACATAGAGTTCTTGAAACCATAGAGTACTTTTTAAACTTAAGCCCTACTGAAATTCTGTGCAATACCTTTTGAGAAATGCAGCAAGAAAGACTTTTCTAATATTTAAATTAAATTTAGATTAAAATTCACCTAAATTAAAAACTGTATTTATGCTCGAGAAGATAAAGACTAAATTACAAAATAATCAACCACTTGCCATAAAAAATTTAAATAATAAACATTACAAAATACATTTCCTTCATTGCAACATAAGAAATGAATCTTATGAGAAAAATCATAATCATGAACAATTAAAACTAATCAAATTAATGTATATAATTTATCCTCACTTACAGATCCTGCAACAGCCTTCATTATAAAGCTTCACAATCCCTTCATTCTAGGATGAGAGAAGGAATAGTGTTAAAACTCAATGTTTGTTCACTTCCTCCTAGATTAGAAACAGAAAACTAACTTTTCAATATATTTACTAAATATCACAAAGACTTTTATAGAAAAAGGATTGAAACAACTATACCTAATAACAATTTTTATTTTTAAAATTAGCAGATATTTTAAAATTTTTAATATTGTTATTTCTTCATAAATAATACAAAAAAGAGTGCATAAAGATTAACTTACTTAAAAGAACACATTTAAAATACAACAAAAGATTTTCTTACCAAGTCGAGAGGCACTCTAAACAGAGATCGGTGTGTTTTTTAGACTTTTTGAAATAAACTACTTTTTGAAATGAGACTGAGTTCCTGAATATAACTGAATGTTAAAATGATATCTCTTTTTCTCTAATATTGTATTATTTTAAACAAATCTTCTACTTCTGAATGTCTCTTGCCAAAGGCTAAATTAAGAAATTTTCATTGATTATCTTTTGGAATTCTTACCATAATTTCCTGATTGCTTTTAGTAACTCACTAATTGTAATTCAAATAAAAGAATAATTTATTCTAGAAAAATGGATTTGTGAAATAAGATGATGCCTAAGATTCTTTAAAGAGCTAAAATTCTATTACCTTGGTACATATTATATCTTGTTATTCAGCCAGCTAGCTAACTATCATCACTAAAAGGGCACATGTTGAAAAAAATCAATGAAATCATGCTATTTCTTTACACTGAAATAAAAATACTGCCTCACACAATAGAATAAAGTTTACTTTTCATTAGGGATTATTCTTTCCTAAATAATTAAGGCTACAAGAATCTTTTTAAAAAACTATGTGACTTTCAAAAATCTACTGTCCCAACGGGCTCTTCTCTGGGAGAATAAGGAACTGGAAGAGCAAAACTGAAGGATCAGCTATGCTCTGGCATAAGCTGAGCTTCACAGCGGCCCATGCTCAGAGAATCTATGACAAAGTTCACTTAGGCCAGCATGCATTAAAAAGCAAATGACATAAAAAATCTGCTGTGTGTTTAAGTAAGAGAAACTTGACCAAGTTCAGATCAATTAGTTTATTAATCCATATTGAAAGAGAGGCTAAGTCGGCTAATCAAAAGATTTTTCAATAATCCTTTGGTCTACATATTAAAAACCCAGAGATAGTATCATGTCCACTCAGGGAGAGTCAAAATTATTTGGAGTGCCATATACAACTCAAACTGTCAAACAGGAAATATAAGCAAGCTTTTATGTATATATGAAAATAAAACATTTACCAAAATAAATAAACCATGTATGTATGACCTTGGAAAACATATTAATGTGCATTTTTAAAATTATATTTAATGCTAAATTTTCTTGGCTATAAGAAAGTACAAACCATTTTGCATTCAGTCTCATTAAAAGGTGGACAGACCATACTGTAGTTAAGAATCATTGCCCCTTCATCAGTCTTAACACATTCAAATGTTGTGCAATTATAGTGCCAGGTGCTCCCCTCCTAAAAATAAAAGAGAAAGATTCTGTTTGCTTATTAAAATCTGCTATATTTCATAAGTATAATGTTTCCTATCTTACTGAATCAAAAGTCAAGTCAAGATTTAGAGAGCTACTTGTGACATAAAATATCTGTCTGGAACTGGACCTAAACCTATCTAAAATGATTAAAAATATGTGTACGTGGCAGGTGGGTGGGTGTATTTGGTTTCATACTATACCTGAGATGTAAATGTGGAAGAAAACGATAGAGAGGAAAGAAGCAACTCAGCGTCTTTTTCTACTAGAAAATTAATTATCTAATTTGGCCAAGTGTCAAAGGTCTTGCTCTAATATTCCCTCACTAATTATAAAACAACAATCATATTAGTTAATCTGACTCCTCACTTGAGGCGTGTTTGTTTTTTCTTCTACTCCCTTATCACCAAAAATTTTAAAAATCTTTGGATGATAGTGATTATTCACTTACAGTTCTAGTTTTCTATACCTTCTGGTTATTTTTAAATGTATCCCTATTCTTTAACAAATTTTTAAGATAGGATTGTTTATTTAACTCCTGATTTCAGAATTCCTATTTACAAATAAAATCAGCTGAAACTAATTATACTATAATTATTAGGCTGTAATTGTTAATCTATATATTTTTTATAACCCGAATTTTAAAACATTAGTCAAACTCTGACTTGAAGATTCCTTGTGGACCAGCAAAAATTCTGACAAGCTTCCCTTTCTATTTTAATTTATAAATGTCTTCAGATCCTCTATGAACCTCAACTGGAAAAGATCTACAAGTCCAGGTCTAAAAGAAGATAAAACATTCAAAATCAAATATTAATTCTAATATTCAATTGAAATAGTACATTCTAATTTATCTGGAATCAAAAATTAGTTGTTCCATAGGAATTAGATTTCTAGATAAATAAAACTTATCTTTGAAAGAGCCAAGAGTTATTATAACAATCTTGATGAATATTTACCTATATTACTTGTGTTCACTATAAATATTCTAAACATAATTTAATCTTTTATTTATTTGTAAGAGTTATCACTGTGAATACTGATTATATACACCAATAGTTTCTGGATTAGTGACATCTATAGTTTATTTTGCTCTTTACTAAAATCCCCACATTTACTGTATATTTTCAAGTAACCTCTGATTCATTTCTCTCACTAACACCTGTCTTCTCATTATTTTTATAAGCTTGCTTTTTCAAGACTTCCTATTTAAAAAAATATAATATGAAGCAGAAACATTGCTATGATTAAACAGAAAAATAATATCAACATTATTTAAATCAATAACACTATTTTTCACATAATTATAAAACAAATGGGCAATAAGCATACGCTATATTGTTATAAAATAAGATAATTGTTAACTTTTTCTTACTTAGTAAAATGCACAGGATTGGAGAAATCTGTTTTTCTTTTGGGTATATAGCTAATTCCATGTAATTAAGAATACCATAAATAAGACCTCCATATAATTAAACTATTAATGGAAAAACTTAAGGATAGCAATAATAAATTGGAACTATCCTCAGGTAATGCAAATTATAATCAGAATTTGTGACCCTCCTAAATCTGATGAACTCACTAATAACTGTACTAAAATTACATGGTTCCCTTCTTCTGTTCTATAAAAGGGAAACAGTAGGTTAGTCTGCAAACCTACATAGAGTTATTATGAGATAATGAATAATTATTATATTGTGGAAAGGTGTGATACAGCATTCATTACTCTTGAAATCTTTTAAAAATTTTCAAATATCTTAAATCTTTTCTTATTTCTTACCTACTGAAATCTTCAATACCTGAAATAATAAAGCGCTAACATCTTGAATTTCAGACTTTTGTTAAAATGCTTCATTTCAAATGAATGAATAAAATAACACTCCTTTCCGTTGTTCTAATTATTAGAACTCAACATTTCTCAAAGCCCATTCCTAACATCTGGGGGGAAAGTAAGGATCTCTGATAAAGAATCAGGGACTTTAAAATGTTAACCACGTCTTGTGTGTTGCAAGTTGCTCTGCATGGGTGTGCTTAGTGTATGTAGAATAGTGTGTGTGAAAGAGAGGTTTTTCAAATTTATGTGAACACCTTATTCAGAAAGTAGCATGGAGAGCTACCCTCCAGAGGAATACATTTTAGGAACGAAGTAATTCATACCTCATATATAAGTGTTGTTCCATTTTCCATTTGAAATTTGCAGGATATATTTTTGCAGGTACCGCAACAATCATAATCACTTGGAGATGGAGTATATACCTGGTGCTGTGCATAGTAATAATAATTTGAATTAGCCAAAAACAGTACTGATATTTTTAATGAAATAATTCTGAAAGTGCTTCCCATTATAACATATGCTCCCATAGGGAGGGTCAAGAGGAAGAGGACATATGCATACTATGGTTGATTCATGTTGATGCATGGCATCAACACAACATTGTAAAGTGATTATCCTCCAACTAAAAATAAATTTTAAAAAGTATGCTCTCTTAGAATATCCGTAAGCATTTCTAAGGTTGAATTTGAGGCATATCAAATAACTTTATATAGCTGTATTGGAGGTGAAGTAGTTGTTAACATCCAAGATTCATCAAGCAGATGTAAAAAGCTCAGGTCAAACAAGCTGTATAGAAAATAAGACTCCTGAAATTCAAGGTTATACACAGGAAAAGGATACTGTATTATATAGATACATTACAAATTGATAGATTTTTAAAGCACTATTCAAGTGTATATTTTTAAATTATAGAGTATTTACTTGTTCAAATTCTACAGCTGCCATTTTAAGATTTATTAACTTGTACCAGAATGACTTAGAAAAAATACTTACAATATCACATTCTTTTGAACAATTCACCATTGTAAAGTTCAAAGTGTGGAAGCCTGTATGGTTATCTTTTTCTTCGAGACACTCTACCATGTAACAAAAATCCCCTTCCAAATACCTTATCATAGATTGGCCAGGATTCAATACTGATATTTCTTGAAATACACACACATCATCCTTTTCTAAGAAAAGATAAAAAAGTCAACAAAAAGTATGATATTCAGGTTTTTTTATTAATCAATCAATAGAACTTTTATTTAAGACTATGTTTTTATTGTGATGTGCAATTTTTAAAAAAACCAATAAAGATCTTTAACTTTATATATTGTTAATGGCTCAAGAGTTCACTTAATAATGAATGTGACATTTATTCTTTAACATACAGTAAGAAATTATATATAAACTCAACTACTATTTACTTCGAACTTTCTCTAAAATCTATAATATATAGCATATTCTAGAATTTTGGCCTAAAGTGATCATCAAGCTACTTGCTATTCCCTCCTCTGGAAACATAACATGACAATTTGGGGGAGTGGATATAAATGAAGGCAAAAATATAAATCAATAACAGTAGGCCTCTTCATAAAGGGATTGCATGATGTTTCATGTTTTTGTTATTTTGAGAGAAAATTTTTCAATTTTATTGTGCTGCAAAAATATATAATTATATAAGTCATCCTTTACAGTGAAGGTAGCTGATTTAATACGCTATGACATCTTTGAAAGTGGCTTTAGGTAGGCTAGAATAGTAATGAAGAATTCAGCTCAGAAACTCTTTGTGCCTTGCTAATGCTGGGTTTAATTCTTCTCTCATATAAAAATGCCAAAGTTTCAAGATATTGAACAAATGTTTATTTTCTATTAACCTACTTAATATGAAGATTTGTTATTTCATAGAAAAATCAACCTTATGCTACACAGTGTCAACATCAAAAATAATACAAGAGTGAACAAAAATCTCTCACTTTTAGCTGTTATCTATTTTTAAATTAAATTATATACACAAAAAAGAACATTGGCATCAACTTTAAATTCTGTGAAGCCTCTGAAAAAGAATAATTTTTATGTCTTGTTACGAAGTTTCTGAGCGACTTCACTTATGAAGTTTCTCAGAACATTTAGTAATATTACACAAGAGGAAATTAAAAAATAAAAAGTACACTTTTTATACTCAAAAACTGGCATGGCTTAAAATGTGTAATATATCTCAAAAATAATTTTTAATTTTTTAAAAATTAAAATTAATTTAATTTTTAATTTTAATAGTGAATATACCAATAATATGATTATCATTTAAAAGTTTCAAGACATAGTTACCACAGAGATACTGTACACATCCACAGTCACTCTGAAAGTTGTAGTCTATTGCAGTAAATTCTCCCTATTAGAAAGATATTATTATTATATGACTTACCATCATAGTTTATTGTATTACCATTGAAAAAAATACACAATATAACATCTAATAAGTATTCTACCCCACAACCACACAGCAACTTCATAGTAAATATTTGATAGGGAACAAGCTTTGATTAACCCAGCGTAATTAGTAACTTAAGGAAAAAACTCACAATAAGCAATATGATCATAGACCACATGGTCTGTCTAAACTTTACTTTTCTTAGCTATTAAATGAGTGGAGATGGATAAGATGATCTTTATGGTTTGTCCTAACTTTAAAATTATACTGTTTGACTCCGATCTTCCAGTGGGCAATTCAAGATAAGAGAACGTTTACTAATCCTAGAAACTTCTCTTGAGGAAAATGTTCTTGATCCGCTCTACAGAGGTGGTCCAGAACTCTGATGTATGCACAGAGCAACGCTGCTATAGCATATGAAACAAGAGCAGAAGAGTGAACGGTTAATAACACAGGCTCAGGAACAGTAGCACCCTCTGCCAATCTTGCTCTGCTACTTACTAGCTGTGTGATCGAGGGCAGGTTACCTAAACAGTCTGCTCCTCGCCTTCCTCATTTACTGAATGGCGACAATACTGTCTGCCTCTTAGAACTGTTGAAAGGAACAAATGGATCAATATATATAAGGGCTTCACATAAGCTGATGTACAGGAAGCACTATAATCTCTCTCTCTCTGCTCTGCGCTGCTGTCTGCCCAGTCGTGTCTGACTCTGCTCCCCATGGAGTATCGCCCACCAGGCTCCTCTGGCCATGAGACCTTCCAGGCAAGAAAATAAGCAAATTGCTGTCATGACCAACGCTTAAACTTTTCTTTACTAGGAAAACTGTATTGGTTCTTCTCAAGTGGGACTCAGGCCTAAAGTTTCAAGAATTGTATTTTAAACATCAACTTTTCCTGGGTGTCTTTAATTTTCATATGACAGTAATAAACACTAATTTGATTATCAACGCAAAAAATAACTCAGATAAATTCATAGTAATATATAAAAGGCACTTCCTCCATAATTAGTAATATTCTACTTTTTATAGTACTTTATGGGTTGCAAAGTAATTTCATAAACATTAACACATTTGATGTTTTATACTTTTAGTCATTATACAATTCCAGTGGGACTAGAAATAAAATATTAGAAATATAGAGTTAAAAACAGTAATAAATCAAGCTCTCCCACTGCATAAACCATTCCAAAAGATTAGATAAGTAAGTAGGCTCTCACTAACTCTTTTAAGCCATTTACCTGTTTTTCAATAGTTAGAGCACAATGCCCACCGTGTCCGCTCAAGCTTAGGCTTAAATCTCCTCATCTTCCCTCCTAACTTGTTTCCTCTGAGATCCTACTCACAGATTTAGTTACACTTTTATTCTCATAAGTACCCAATGTCAATCAGAGGAAATAGCTCCTTTATTGTTCTAACAATACTTAATATTAATCAAATATGATGGTATTTTTTTTAATCCTCAAGCAAGCATCCCTCCCCTTTACAGTCATAGCAAAATCACCTCAAAATGTTTCCACTTTTTAGCTATTATGAATGGTGCTGCTATGAACATTCAAGGTTTGCGTGGATGTACGTTTTCATTTCTCATGGATTTATACTTAGGAGTGGAATTGCTGAGTCATATGGTAACTATATATTTAACCTTTTGAGTAATTACCAGGCTGTCTTCCAAAGCAGCTAGTTTTGTATTCCCACAGCAGAGCATGAAGGTTTCAATTTCTCCACATCCTTGCCAACATGTATTAATATCTGTCATTTTAGTGAGTGTGAAGTGATCTCTCCCTGTAGTTCTGATTTGCATTTGAAAAAGTGAAAGGGTTAGTGACTCAGTCATGTCTGACTCTTTGTGACTCCACGGACTGAACTGCAAGCCTCCTCTGTCCATGGAATTCTCCAGGCAAGAATACCAGAGTGGGTAGCCACTCCCTTCTCCAGGGGATCTTTCGGATTCAGGGATCAAATTCGGTCCACATTATAGGCAAATTCTTTACCATCTGAGTCACTAACTAATAGCTAATGATGTTAAGGAACTCTTCAAGTGCTCTTGTCCACTACATATTTTATTTGGACAAATGTTTTGTCATATCCATAAAATGGAATATTATTTAAAAGTAAAAAAAGAAACGAAGTACTGATAAATACTACAACACAGATGAATCTTGACAACCTTATGCTAAGCGAAAGGAATCACAAAAGACCACATCTTATATGATTTCATTTACATGAAATATTAAGAATAAGAAAATCTATAGAGATAGAGAATATATTGTGTTTTCCTAGGTTGAGGGAGTTTTGAGGGACACAAGTAACTCCTAAGAGGTACAGAGTTTCTTGGGGCAGAGGGTAATAAAATTTTTCTATAAATGATTGTGCTGATGGTTGCACAATCTGTAAGCAAAATAAAAACCATTTAATTTCACACTCTAAATGACTGAATTGTATGGTAAGGGAATTATATTTCAATAAAGCTGTTAGTAAAAAAGAAATATATTATTAAATATTTGTTTCAGTGTCGAAGGCAAGGTACTTTAAAAAAAAACACTGTAGACTGTAGCCTGCCAGGCTCCTCTGTCCATGGGATTCTCTAGGCGAGAATACTGGAGTGGGTTGTCATTTCCTTCTCCAGGGGATCTTCCTGACCCAGGAATTGAACCTGGGTCTCCTGTATTACAGGCAGATTCTTTATTGACTGAGCTACGAGGGAAGCCCAAACATGTCTTCTTTGATAGATAAGGCCAGGAATATACTATCTATCTCAAGCCTTAGAGGCATATCATAGAGGTAAATATTTAAAGGAAAAATAAAAAGACTTGCAAAGTGTCATATCTAATGGTTATCCATATACTTGGAAATAATGGTTATACATATAATGGATATCCATATCCATATCCATAAGTGTCCATCTAAAATAGTTAAATAAGTGATACCAAAGTCATAACTACTGTTTCTAAAAGTTAAATTTTTGTAATTCCTAGAAGGTTTGCATATTCATAGATAATTCCTAAGAAGGTACAGACAGCTAGTTACCTATTTATACCTCCTCCTCCTCTGAAATAAATGTATGGTTAGTACACTTTCTTAAAAATCACTGGGAACACTTTCAATATTGAGATAATATATTTTCAATATTATGCTTCATTTTAGACCAGTGAATTTATGTAGACATAAGACCGGAGGATTCAGGCACCAATGGACAAAATGATCGTGTGATCACTTACCAAGAACCAGACATCCTGGAATGCGAAGTCAAATGGGCCTTGGGAAGCATCACTACGAACAAAGCTAGTGGAGGTGATGGAATTCCAGTTGAGCTATTTCAAATCCTAAAAGATGATGCAATGAAAGTGCTGCACTCAATATGCCAGCAAATCTGGAAAACTCAGCAGTGGCCACAGGACTGGAAAAGGGCAGTTTTCATTCCAATCCCAAAGAAAGGCAATGTCAAAGAATGCTCAAACTACTGCACAATTGCACTCATCTCACATGCTAGCAAAGGAATGCTCAAAATTCTCCAAGCCAGGCTTCAACAGTACGTAAACCGTGAACCTCAGATGTACCAGCTGGATTTAGAAAAGGCAGAGGAACCAGAGATCAAATTGCCAACATCTGCTGGATCATTGAAAAAGCAAAGGAGTTCCAGAAAAACATATACTTTTGTTTTATTGACTATGCTAAAGCCTTTGACTGTGTGGATCACAACAAACTGTTGAAAATTCTTCAAGAGATGGGAATACCAGACCACCTTACCTGGCTCCTGAGATATCTTCGTGCAGGTCAAGAAGCAACAGTTAGAACTGGACATGGAACAACAGACTAGTTCCAAATTGGGAAAGGAGTACATCAAGGNATATTCATTGGAAGGACTGATGCTGAAGCTGAAACTCCAATACTTTGGCCACCTGATGCGAAGAACTGACTCATTGGAAAAGACCCTGATGCTGGGAAAGATTGAAGGCAGGAGGAGAAGGGGATGACAGAGGATGAGATTGTTGGATAGCATCACCGACCTGATGGACATGAGTTTGAGTAAACTCCGGGAGTTGGTGATGGACAGGGAGGCCTGGCATCCATGGGGTCACAAAGAGTCAGACACAACTGAGTGACTGAACTGAACTGAACTTTCAATCTCTAATAAAATATAAAGTGTTGACTGTTCCCTACATCAAAGCAGATTTCTTTTAATTTACTTCATTACAACTTAAAGGGAATAATTCCATTTACTCTGGGAAGAAATCAGAAATGAAAGAAATAGAGGAAGAAAAAATTGATTTATATTATATTAAAATTCAGTCAAAATATGTGCTCTTACCACTTCACAAGTTGGCATAACAAGATTTTCACAGCTACATTCTAAAAGGCAAAAATCAACATATTTATATTGATCATAATATACTAATACAATGTAATAAGACTTTAAAATATAAAAATTAGTTACCACAATGCCATGTTGGACAACATTGACCAGATACATTTTCTTTCACAAGATTCATATCTTCTGCACAGCTGAATAGAGGCATAGGACAAAGATTTGGCTCACACACTAAATTTGAAAAATAACATGGGTAAAGATTAACTTCATTTAAATGCTAGCTATCATTAGCTATCATTCACTAGCTATCATCCACTGCCATTACTGATGTACTGGGATCTCCCCAGAGCTGCCGGCCCACCACCCAACTGCAATGTGTCGGTAAGGACAGAACAAAGGACTCGCAAGCAGATACGACAACAGTACAGCTAGGACATGCTCCTTTGGTCAAGAGCCCTGAGAAATGGCAGGCGGGCAAGAAGAGAAAGGAAGTGAAAAGGGTATGGAATCAGTTGGAAATCTAGAAAGTCTAGGATGAGGAGAAACCTCATAGCTAATCTATTTTGGGAAGGTAACAAAATTGTCCAAGAAGCACTCTATATTTAATATACTAGAAATCAACTAAGGTCTGATATAACCATACAACTAACATGCACTGGCCTGAGCCTTCCCTGGTGATCCTGTGGTTAAGAATCTGCCTGACAATGCAGGGGACATGGGTTTGGTCCCTGGTCTGAGAAGATCCCATGTGCCATTGGACAACTAAGCCTGAGCGTCACAACTACTGAGCCCACACTCTAGAGCCCATGAGCCACAGCTAATGCAGCCTACATGCCTACAGTCCATGCTCTCCAACAGCAGAAGCCACCCCAGTGGGAATCCTGACACTGCAGTGAGGAGCGGCCCCTGCTCGCCACAACTAGAGAAAGCCCACAGGCAGCAATGAAGGCCAAGTGCAGCCAAGACTAGGCAAACAGAACAAATAAAAATTAGCTTTAAAAAAATTGTAAAAAGAGGCACTAGATTTCTTAAATGCCAAACATATCTAAATATTTTTAATTAATTAAAATATATTTACCACAGTAATATTGAGGACAACAGAAGTGTGTGGTATTAAGATCCACAGTGAGAAATTCTCCGTCAGTACACAGTGGAATAGGTTCAGTGCAAGGTTTGCAAACTAAAGATGAAACAAAAAGGTAAGGTCATGATTGAGCTAAAAACAAGCCAGTTAGAAGTTCAAATGACTGTACACATATAAAATCAAAATGAAATACACTATATAAAACTTAACAGGAAACAAGGAAAATAAGGATTTAAAAAACAGATCTCCTTATTTGGTCATAAAAATAATACTATCTGAATGTATTATTTTATACCTTCCCAAGCACCATGATATAAAAAGAACCATCTTACCAGGAGTACTGGACATTGAGGTCTCAGGAGTAATTTGTTCTTACTAGGATCAAAATACCATTGATTTACTTAACTTTTCTTAATTCACTACTCTTGATTACTCCAATTTATGGATGAACAATATAGTAGGCACATGTTCTTCTGAACTCTTAGTATCCTTCTTCCAACTTTGATGATAACTCTCAATGAATTTGAGGAAATGCCCCAACCACACAGTGATTTCTTAAATGCCAAACATATCTAAATATTTTTAATTAATTAAAATATATTTACCACAGTAATATTGAGGACAACAGAAGTGTGTAGTATTAAAATCCACAGTGAGAAATTCTCCATCAGTACACAGTAGAATAGGTTCAGTGCAAGGTTTGCAAACTAAAGATGAAACAAAAAGGTAATGTCATGGTTGAGCTAAAAACAAACTAGTTAGAAGTTCAAATGACTGTACACATATAAAATCAAAATAAAAAACATTATATAAAACTTAACAGGAAACAAGGAAAATAAGGATTTAAAAAACACATCTCCTTATTTGGTCATAAAAATAATACTATCTGAATGTATTATTTTATACCTTCCCAAGCACCATTATATAAAAAGAACCATCTTACCAGGAGTACTGGACATTGAGGTCTCAGGAGTAATTTGTTCTTACTAGGATCAAAATACCATTGATTTACTTAACTTTTCTTAATTCACTACTCTTGATTACTCCAATTTATGGATGAACAATATAGTAGGCACATGTTCTTCTGAACTCTTAGTATCCTTCTTCCAACTTTGATGATAACTCTCAATGAATTTGAGGAAATGCCCCAACCACACAGCCTTGGAGTGACTCTTAATAAAGGTGCCTCACTCTTATCAGTCTTTGTGTAGGAAAAACCCACTTTGGATGAGTCAGAATATCTCGCTATACCATTTGAGTCACGGATGCACATCAAGACAAGAAATAAATGGATGTGGCCGGCTCAGTCATTAGTGACTGCCACCTAGAGAAGCTGCTTTCTCTCCTTCCCAGGGTTTGGCTGTTCTGCTTCATCTCAGTCCTACAAAATCTTGATCCCCCAATTCTCCCGATAATTGGTTGTGTGCAGGCTATGCAGAATCAATCAGTCGTCGCCATTGCAGTCAAAGAAACTTAAATTATACACAAAGAAGTGCTGTGATCCACAGGGGTTCATCTGAAACCTACATTAATCCCCAGTCTTTGATATGATAATTCCCCAATGAAATGAAAAAGAGAGAACTGTTGATGTTTGAAAGCCCAATTCATCAGACAGAATATACAGCACCAAATATAGTCATTTTCTAGACACCTTTCATTTCTCTTTCGAGATCACTGTGCTTATACATTGTGCTTATACATATCCTATACAGCAGATGAAGTGTTAAAGAGCTACCCTGCATAGTAGAGTCCTTTATTTACTTAGTTCTTCAGAAAAGTCAGGACTAAATTTTTTCTCTAAAAAGAACTATGTGGTAGCTTTATTTTTTAATTGATTATATTATATCTGATTAGGTTTTGACTTATATACATAGTCTCTGTCAATAGGGAAAAGTAGTACTAATTGTAATAATTGTCAATAATCATTTAAAATGCTATATCTTTTTTTTCTACCACTCTAATTTAGTTGAATTTTATGAGTATATTGGCAGAATATTGGTTACCATGAATTCCACGAAATTCACATCATATAAGAGATTTTCCTTTGATCTTTCCTCTTCTTCCAAGAAATTATCTCACAAAACACTTACCACAGAGAGGAGAAAAGCAGCAAGTCTCTTCCTCTTGAACCTGAATCATGAATTGATCTTCTCTGCATTCTGGTATTGAAATTGTGGGGCATTTGAATGGGTCACATTCTGCAAAAACACAGTTATTTGGAAATGTATATAGAGTAAGATGAATAAATGAAATAGTGTGGTTCATTTCTCTTTGAATTTAGTAATAATTAGTTCATTTAAAAAAATCTTAATCATAGAAGAAATATATAGGCAATAGCAGGTTATTAATATAAAAGTAAGTATTTTACATAAAAATATATGTAAATAGACATTTAAAAAATATATATACTTTAGCTTAATCATATATACATGATTAATCATCTATATACATGTATGTGTTTGTGTATATATATATATATATATATGTATATATACTGCTATAAAATCTCAGCAGAAATATATAGGAAATAGCAGATTTTTTATATTTAAAACATACAAATGTATACACTTAAAATACATACTTATACTAAAATTAAGATCTTTAAAGTGAACTCATATATATAATATATATAATAAATATAATTAAAGTTCATATATATACATATTTACAAAGAAGTCATAGGTTTAAAAAAAACTCCTTTAGCAAGACAGTTCTGCAAACAATCTGTTTGATAAATTTTTTTGTAGACACAAAAATGAGAATCTAATCCACTGCTCTGAGTGAACAATGAATCTCACTTTTCCTAGTTCATTACTCACCACATTGGTACTGTGGACAGCAAGAAATGGGGCTATGGCCAACAACCAGTTTTTGACTATTTGTACATGTTGGAATGGCAGTTTCACACAAAGTCATGTCACATCCTGGAAATAATAAGAAATATAAAAAAATTGTGTACACAACTAAAATCCTGAGGTTCTAACTTAAAGCAGGAAAAGGATTCTCATTATCATGTTTTTACACTGCTCACAGAATGGTCATATGTGAAAAGGCAGCAGATTTAAGGTTACCGATTATCGTCTTTGATCCTGGTTATCATAAGTCAAAGACTCCCAGACCCTTTTCTTGTCATGTCTTTCAGAATGTTATTAATTTATAATAGCTAGAGTTTTGCATGTCCATTTGCAAAATCAACAAAACTATAATGAGGTAAAAGTTGCTTTGAGAAAGTGTAATTTATGGCAATAGTTACTTTAACCCTGTACATTTTTTTTTAACATCAAGCATCATACACGCCCTGTTTTTTCTCAAAGAATATCAACATATTTTGTGGCATTAATAGGCTATAAGGCTTCAGCCTGCATACATACTGCAAACTTCCTTTGAACAGCAGGTCCACCTATCAATGAAGACCAGGACGACTTCAGCTTCTCGTTCACAAATTGGTGAGGGCTGTTCATCACAGTCAGGTTCTATGGGAATAATGCTTCCATTTGCGAAACATTTGTACAAGGCACATTCGTCAATGCCCCCATTCCAAACTTCACCAGCAGTTCGAGGCTGGTCTTCACTGTCAGTGCATGCTTAAAAAGACAATCAATGTTATATCACTTAAGACTTGGGCATGAAAATAAATCAAGCTGTGATGTTTTGATTTCAGACTGTGACTTGGTCCAGGGGCACAGATAACCTGTCATGTTACCTAACTTTTCGCAGCTTCTTCTTTTTGTTCATCAACTACTAGCTTACATTTTCCTTTAATGAACTCTTTGTAGTCCATGGAAAATATTTTTCCCCTCTACAACTATCTGTAAATTTTGCGTGACCTCTTCTACAAATAAGATGATCTGTTAATTATTTTGTATTCGTTTTAAGTCTTGCTAGTACAATTTATTTAACTTAAACAAACTCAGTAACATAAATTTAAATTAGCTTTAAAATATTAACTACAAAAACTGAGTAGTATTAGAAAATAAGGTAGTCTCTACCTCATATTAACATGTTTGTCATATCAAAATTCAAAATATTTCAGCTTGAAAATCTAAATGTGAAAAGTAGGCAGTCAGGCAAATATTGTTTAATGATTCTGTTCATTTTATTATGAACATTTTACTTAACAACAAATATAGCCCTTTAGTAGTTCTTTAAGGATAATAAAGATAAATGAAGTGACCACCATATTCCAAGCTTCCAATGAACTTTTCTTTCTTTACGACCAAACCAATCTCTCAGGTCCCTAAAAAAAAATATAAGCATGCCTGTGTATTCTCAAATTCTTCCACAAATATTCTCTCAAAGGCAAATACAAACTTGTTTCTGAAACTTTATATGCATTTTGCTTCTACTTGCCTTTCCCTTTAATTATTCTCTACTTTTGACCATAACAATGATTCTTGTGATAGATAAAAAGTGCTGTATGGCAGTTTTCTCAATTTTGCACTTTTTCAAATCCACAACCACCTTAGAGACTATGTGTCAAAATAAAATGGGTTGAAAATGAAAGCAGAAATACTGGATATTTTCTCTCAGATAATAGCACTTTCTGAAACTTCTTGAGTGCTTATTTTTCTCTAGGCACTGTTGCAAAATTCCTTCTATTTTTTTTGTGTATCCTCACACTAACCTTGTGGTATAAGTCCTATTACTTTCCACATTTTGCAGATGCGCAATTTCAGGCTCATGTAAAGCAGAATCATTAATACATGAAATAACTGGAATTTCAATTGAGTCCACATACTGTTCTCTTCATTCTTAATCTGCCATATTCTTTTCCGGTTATTATAGGCATAAGTAGAAATAAAATATATTACCACTGAATCCCCCAATTTTGGCAACTTTGATTGAAATCATATTATAATCGAACAACATACTTGTTTCCTTTCCAACACTTAGGCGAACTTTGATTAATCCTTCTCAGCACATTTCTCCAAGATTTAAAAAAAGTCTAAAAAGTCTTATTTGTTTATTTCCTGGGACCCTAAGGTGTTGTTTCACTTTTCTGCTTACCACATTCTTTCTCTGGAATACATTGAGTTGAATCTGGCCTGTGAAGAGTGGTTCCATTTTTGCACACACAGTCTTCTCTTAAATTCAAACATGAAGAATGTCCATAGAACCATCTGTTCAGACATGTTTTTGCTTCACAAGGTCGCACACAGGGTTGATATTCCTTCCCCTCTGGACAAGTCAGAGCTATGAATAACCAAGGACAGAATTTGGTAATGATAAAAGTGACCTACTTGAATTCTAGTAAGAGGAAGAAATGTCAGTTTTGTCTCTGAAAGTAAATTTTTGCACACTTTCAGCCTCTTCCAAATCCATTTTTCAGCATTATGTAACCATAAATTAGAAACAAAACAATCTATGAGTATTTTTGAGCATCTTCCAGGTATCCAGCTAGTATTATGTCACAGTGGAGAAAGTTCATCTGATTTATATCAAGTAAATACTACCAATAGGCAGCCCAAGTTTAGTTGGCATAAACATAGAGTCAACCATTATGAAGTTACTGCCCTGTGCAGTGGGAAGAGATCCAGAAGTCCACTCAGAATAAGCACAGAAATATGTTTTAACTATGCAACTCAACCAAGCCCTAAAAAAGAAAAATGCCACATGTTTAGGCTTAATCCTTCACTGTCAAAAGAAACTACTGTTGCTGAGCAGTTTCTAAATGATGTTTCAGAGAATTCATGTTGCTTTTATGTGATCTTAAAAAGTCATACTCATAAAAAAAATGAACATGCAGAGGGCGGGGGCATAAACCGGTAAGATATTAGCAGAGAATAATTTCACAATCTAGTGATACTGAAGATGTCATATGTTCCCAATGAATCAAGCAACCCTACTCTCATTCTTAATCTGCCATATTCTTTTCCAGTTATTATAGGCATAAGTAGAAATAAAATATATTACCACTGAATCCCCCAATTTTGGCAACTTTGATTGAAATCATATTATAATCGAACAACATACTTGTTTCCTTTCCAACACTTAGGCGAACTTTGATTAATCCTTCTCAGCACATTTCTCCAAGATTTAAAAAAAGTCTAAAAAGTCTTATTTGTTTATTTCCTGGGACCCTAAGGTGTTGTTTCACTTTTCTGCTTACCACATTCTTTCTCTGGAATACATTGAGTTGAATCTGGCCTGTGAAGAGTGGTTCCATTTTTGCACACACAGTCTTCTCTTAAATTCAAACATGAAGAATGTCCATAGAACCATCTGTTCAGACATGTTTTTGCTTCACAAGGTCGCACACAGGGTTGATATTCCTTCCCCTCTGGACAAGTCAGAGCTATGAATAACCAAGGACAGAATTTGGTAATGATAAAAGTGACCTACTTGAATTCTAGTAAGAGGAAGAAATGTCAGTTTTGTCTCTGAAAGTAAATTTTTGCACACTTTCAGCCTCTTCCAAATCCATTTTTCAGCATTATGTAACCATAAATTAGAAACAAAACAATCTATGAGTATTTTTGAGCATCTTCCAGGTATCCAGCTAGTATTATGTCACAGTGGAGAAAGTTCATCTGATTTATATCAAGTAAATACTACCAATAGGCAGCCCAAGTTTAGTTGGCATAAACATAGAGTCAACCATTATGAAGTTACTGCCCTGTGCAGTGGGAAGAGATCCAGCAGTCTACTCAGAATAAGCACAGAAATATGTTTTAACTATGCAACTCAACCAAGCCCTAAAAAAGAAAAATGCCACATGTTTAGGCTTAATCCTTCACTGTCAAAAGAAACTACTGTTGCTGAGCAGTTTCTAAATGATGTTTCAGAGAATTCATGTTGCTTTTATGTGATCTTAAAAAGTCATACTCATAAAAAAAATGAACATGCAGAGGGCGGGGGCATAAACCGGTAAGATATTAGCAGAGAATAATTTCACAATCTAGTGATACTGAAGATGTCATATGTTCCCAATGAATCAAGCAACCCTACTCCTGAAGAGTGATTACCTCTGGGGGAAAATACCCTGATCCTGGGGAAAATTGAAGGCAGGAGGAGAAGGAGACGACAGAGGACAAGATGGTCAGATAGCGTCACCGACTTCATGGACATGAGTTTGAGCAAGCTCCTGGCGTTGGTGATGGACAGGGAAGCCTGGCATGCTGCAGGCCATGGGGTCACAAAGAGTCTGACACGGCTGAGCAACTGAACAAGAAATGGGTCTGCGGGGAGAGGAGAGGCCTAGAGAGAGGAGAGCAGGAGCTGCCTTATTTCTGAAGTGGAATCATGGAACTAGGGGCTCCAATATATTCTTTTTCTATGTATTTTATTCTATCTGGGGAGGGGGAGATGAAAAGATTTCACTGTTGAGTATGATGCTGGCTGTAGTTTTGTCAAATACGGCCTTTATTATGTTGAGCTATGTTCCCTCTGTACCCGGCTTGTTGAGAGAGTTTTATCATCAGTGGAGGTTGAATTTTGTCAAAAACATTTTTTTAAACTATGGAGATGATTTTTACTCTTCAGTTGGGTAATGTGGCTTATCACAATGATTGATTGCAGATGCTGAAGCATCATCACTGGCATCCCTAGGGTAAATCCCTTCATCAGAATGCATGATTCTTTTAATGTTTTGCTGAATTCAGTTTGCTGATGTTTTGTTGAGGGCTTTTGTATCTATGTTCATCAGTGATATTGATCTGTAATTTTCTTTTCTTTGGTGTCTTTTTCTGGTTTTTGTTATCAGGGCACGCTTCTCTCTGGTCTTTAGAGCCATATGCTCTAGGAGCGCCCCCTACATAGCCCGTGTGCACGCCTCAGCGGTGGCAGCGCCAGCTACTGTGGGTGCCCTGGTGGGCCAGGCTGGCCCGTGGTCAGGAGGCTGCAATGCCACAGTGTCTGGGGGACCCTGGAGACTGGGGCAGGCTTTCTGCATGGCTGTCTGCAGATCCTGAAAGGCTTGAGGCTGGGTCTGGCTCACTGGGGTGCAGATAAGCTTCTGGAACTAACAGACGAGGGAAGCATTCCAAAACAGTCTTTTGCCAGTGCCAGTGTGATCACAGAATCAGCTCCCGAAATGGATGGCAGCATCTCTATCCCCAGGGGAGTCCTGGGTGCCTCCTGCCTCTCCTGGAGGCTCTCCAAGATCAGCAAGTCGTTCTGACCCAGGGTCCTTTCAGAGTGCTTCCTCTGCTCTGGGACTGGGAGCACAGGCGACTTTGTGCATTTCCTTTAAGGGCAGAGGCTCTGTTTCCTATAGCTCTCCAGCTTTCCCCAGCATAAGCCTTGCTGCTGCTGCTGTCGCTTCAGTCGTGTCTGACTCTGTGTGACCCCTTAGACGGCAGCCCGCCAGGCTCCCCCGTCCCTGGGATTCTCCAGGCAGGAACACTGGAGTGGGCTGCCATTTCCTTCTCCAATGCATGAAAGTGGAAAGTGAAAGTGAAGTCGCTCAGTCGTGTCCGACTCTTAGCGACCCCATGGACCGCAGGCTACCAGGCTCCTCCGTCCATCCACGGGATTTTCTAGGCAAGAGGACTACTGGTTTTCAAAGCCAGAAGTTCTGGGAACTCACCTTCCTGGTGCAGGACTTCCAGGCTGGGGAGGCCAATGTGGGAATCAGACTTCTCGCTTCTTAAGGAGGTCTACAGTGGTGTACACCTTCTGTTCGTGGGTCACAGACCGAGGGGTGTGGGTCCTGACCATACTGTATCTCTGCCTCTCCCACCATTCTAGTGGTGTTATTTTCTTATCTCTTTATCTGTGAAATATCTTTTCTGCTAGTCTTCAGGTCAGTCGTATAGATAGTTCATCTGTAAGTAACTGTAATTTTGGTATGTCTGTTGGAGGAGGGGAATTCAGGGTCTTGCTACGCCACTTTCTTGATCCTCCCCCTTACTTTAAATTTATACCAGGATAAAAACACAAGGTGCTTAAGGGGGAGCGATGACCTCTAACTATAGGTTACATTTACATTCATTTTATTCTTACAAAATTATTTTGTGATGAAAATAAAAAGAAAGACATGCACACAAGAAAACTGAAATGTTATTTGATTGTTGGAACATACAGTTTGCAGTGTACTACTTACAGCAGTAATCAGGTGTTCTCCATGGAATACAAATGTCAAACTTGTTGCATACAGCCACATATGCAGAAAGGGCATCACATTCATAGTTCCAAAAATAGGTATAATTGATCCACATCTTTTCACAAAAGTCTTGTGGTGAAACCTAGAGACACATTGTGGCCTGGGATAAGTTATGTTATTTTATGTATCTGATGACCTAAATCAAATCCCTTAGGATTATACAGTGGAAGTGACAAACAGATTCATGGGATTATATCTGATAGAGTGCCTGAAGAACTATGGACAGAGGACCACTGGAAAAACCAAGGCTTTGACTAGATGGACCTTTGCTGGTAAAGTACTGTTCATTGTTGTCTTCTCTTCCTGCCTCATTCTGAATGTTTGTCTAGACCCTTTTTCCATGCAGTGTGGGAGATGCGAGTTCGATCCCTGGGTCAGAAAGATCCCCTGGAGGAGGAAATGACAACCCACTCCAGTATTCTCGCCTGGAGAATCCCATGGTCAGGGGAACCTGGCAGGCTACTATCCATGGAGGTTGCAAAGAGTCAGACATGCCTGAGCAAATTAACACTTTCTTCCATAGCCCTGTCTACTCACTACAAATGTTCTTCCTGGGCTCATCCACTTCCCCAGTTTCTACCACCAACTTGGGCATTTACATCTTCACCTCAGTTTCTTCATAAGTTAAATAGAGTTAATAAAAACCCTACTACTACTTAAGACTGCTGTAAGCTAATATTTGGAAAGTGTTCAGAACAGACCCTGGCACATCATACATGAGTTATTGTTATTTTAGAAACTCCCTATACTAATAACTCCCCAAATCCAATCTCTGGATTCAACTAGTCTCTTCTGAGATCTAGAATGGCTTCAAAATTTTTCTGGGTATTTTAGCCTTAAAGTCCCACACAACTTAATTTGTTCAATATGAAAAAATTGTATCCTTTCTCTACTAAACACACAAAAGCTGATTCTCCTGTATCCTCCATTCATCCATTCAGTTATGCATCCTTCCACAATTTATTGGGCACCTAACTACATATCAGGCACCCTGCTATGCGTAAGTAATATAAAGGTGACTAAAACAAACCTGTTCTTGTGGATCTCACAGTTAAAGCCTCTATATAGAACCAAGAGGGGTCACCATGCTTAAAGAGGTCAGAGGAGAGCAGTGTTCCAGCTTAGGACACTGTAGGCACAAAAGCCCATTCACAGGAAAATCCTGAAATAGTGAAACAACCGAAAGGAGGCTGAAATGCCTGGACCTTCGACAACCAGAAAAATGTAGCGCAAGAGGAAGCTGGAAAAGAAGGCAGGCCAAAGCACAAAGGAAATTATAAGCCCTGATGAGAAGTTAAGAATGTATTCTAAAAGTAAGTGAAAGACCCCGAAGGATTTTAGGTAGAGAAATAATCCAACAGTGTTTCCATTTTCAAAAGATCATCTGTCTACTATGTGGACATTTGCAAACAAGGATGAATATTAGAAGTAGGAAAACTAAATAAACAGTACCACTTCTTTTGCTGCCAAATTCACTGGGATGATCTGAAGGGAAAGCTGGGACTATCACAGATTAAATGGTATCCTGTGTTGCTTCACTATGTCTTGAATAGTCAAGCTGAAAAGTCTCCTGATTTAATATCACTCTTATAAGTTCCCGGTTAAAAAAGCAATTTTTGAAAGTTGTTATGCTTTAAAAAGATAGATGACAATGGCACTGAAATGAATTTAAAATTATTTGCAATTTTTTTTCATTTTTATATGCATGCACTTTAAAACATAAACATTTAAAATGTATTTGCCTGCAAATCTCTGAGTAAAACTGAAGCCCCGGGGAAGATACACCATTTTTATCCCATGACTTCACATCCTTTGCCTTTCCCCTCAGAAAACTCATAGGACAGGCTGAGGTCTATGGCATCCACAATCAGTGGAGGAGCATGGAAGATCCTGCAGAGTGAAGTCCTTCTGCTTGGCAGTTCACTCTCTCTACTTCCCAGACTCCTCCCTGTAGTCTTGCATTAAGCTACTTCACTGTTTTCCTAACACAGTCATTTCTAGCAACCCAGCTCCTGTCATACTGTTTTCTTCGCCTTGGTCTCCCTTCCTCCCTCTTCTCTCCTGGCAAACATCCTTCCAAATAATTCAAACGTCTGAAACTCTGGGAGGTCTTCTAATGTGGGCTCCTATTCATCTCCGCAGTGTCTGTGATGAATCTGTTCACGGACTTGCCTTCCTTCCAGACTTCTGGAGAGTGAGGAGAGGGTCTGACTCATCTTTGCATCACAGGAGTTTATCACAGTGCCTAGCAGGTGCCTGATACTCACAAACGTTTCATTTAATGATTCATGAGATGCTGTATCTGCTTGTCTTTGTTTCTAACAATGGATCCTTTTTTTTAAACAATACGGGTTGTGTAAATATCTACCAGTCACCTAAAGTCAGGAAGTCAGAGACTGATAAAGAACAATTAGATTGACCATGTGGCAGATTCTATTATAAGTACACGCCTGAGAGGCCATACACCTAACAGCTGACTGAAGCCTCACTGTCTTGGGCTTTATGCTGGGTTATCAAGTAGCATTCATCTCTTTCCTCTATGGGAATCTATTCATAAGACAAAGTTTCATTTTTCTTGAAAGCTGGAGATACAGTTCATAAAAATACATGGGGGACAAGTTAAGTTATTCTTCCTGTTCTGTAAGTCAATAAACAGTAAATGATTTTGAGTTCCCCTGGGGATAAACTATTCTTAGTGGAAGAACATCATGGCAAGAGCAAGAATTTATTGGCTTTTACTCTCAACATGTCTAACACAGCAGTTCTGATTTATGGTTGCTTTCAGCTTACTTTATCATGGCATGGGATGAAAACTCTTCTATTTAATAACTCAATGCAGTGACTGCAGTCATGCTCAGTACAGTTTCTCACAGGCCTTCTTGTTGTTACTTCAAATGATTTCTCAATTTCCCAGCTCTCAATAAACAATTCTATGTCTTCCATATTTGTAATGATTGTGCCATTTTGCATCCTTAGATCATCATCTGGATCTTCATTGCAATTTCCTAAAAAGATGTGTGACATTTAGAAGAAAATTCTTTTCACTTTAACCTAACATAGCCAGCAGAAATAAATCAACTCAAATAACTGCTTTAAAATGAATAAGTAATTTACTGAATCAAGTACCAAATTTATGTCCTTCGACTCTAATTTTAATAGATTTTTTTTAAAAATTACACATGGATTAAATAGTGTAGAGCTTCCTTAACCAGGCAAGAAAGAAACCATGATCCTAGAAGTCAAGATTTGTGAAAAGATCATAGGAGAAGAAAGAGAAGATTGATCCTGTCTCAGTGCTCTTTCACTATCCACTATCTCCTAATTTAAGAAGTAGTTCTTAACTCTGAAGAGGTATTCCCCAAACTAGCGGGCATAACTTACTTTTTATCTAGTCAAGTGCAAAGCCAAGGGAAGTAGAGAGAAATGAACCTAGATCCTGATCATACCTTACCTGAATTCCACTCTACTTTAAGATATAACTTTTTCTTAATTTCTAGGACTCCTAGCTATAAAAGATATGAGTTAAACATTTTTTTCAAGTATCAAATCTTAATCCTCAAGCAGTTATATCAAAATCAATAAGGGTTTCTGCTGCCATAATTGCCCCACACCTGTAAATATACAGGAGACTGAATACGGTGAAAAATAAATCAATAAATAACCAAAACAAACAAACAAAAATAAAAATACCTCAAGTTAAGTCAACTATACTGTAAAACAGCTATGTTAAAAATCTAAACTCTCCTGGGGAAAGGTAATTGCTAGTAAAAATACGTTTTCATTGCCCCTGCAGCCACCACTCCTGGAGACTTCACATTTCTTTGTAGAACAAGTTGTCAGTATAGACCTCCCATTCCGGTGTCCATGCTCAATTTGGGTCGCTACAACTCTGTCAGCCAGCACCCTGCTTTTCTTTAAACAAACCACCACTCTCCCACTGTAGAAGTCGGGAAGTTTGGAGGGTGACCTTTGTTAGCAAAAAGGTGACCCTACCCCTTCTCTGTAGTGATTAGTTAAGACTCCAGTTAGCATACTGTCTCCATAAAAGCACGAGCTGACAGTAAAAGAAGAAAACAGACATGAAAATCAAACAGAAGTCACCGCACACAGAAGTGATAAATCAGAAAAAATATGCATTCCCAATGTCTCTGAGTTATTATTCAGTAATACCTATTGAATTTTTATGTACACACAATACAATGCATACTCAATAACTATATCCACAATGATAACTGAAGTCACCAGAGAAGGCTGGGCTACGCTTGGCATGCTCTAAGCAGGCAAGGACATTATCAACCATTTTAGCCAAACTTTCCACTAAAGGCTTTACGTTTTTGAAGACGAAATTTGGGTATTTCAGGCAGTTTGTTGAGAGCAAGGACCTGGTCTATTTCTTTTGAGTCGTCAGAATCAAACATAAGGTCAGATACTCAGAAACTCATTCATAAAGTTTTACTCAATTAATATTTAGTGAGCTTAAAATAGGTATATTTGTGCTAAGCTAATATTATTGACTGCATTAAACAATGTCTTCAGAGTTTTACATTAACTTTCACATTCAATTCTAACAACAATCTTGAAGGTAGGTTTTACTATTCTCATTTAAAAGATGAGGAAACTGATGTTCACTTAAACATCTGTAAAGGGGATAGCCTAGCAGACACCAGTCAGAATTTTTTTTAACATACCTAGAGATATTTCTGATTTGTTTCCTTTGGCTTGTAACTATGAATCTATATAATATGTTGTGATATGAAACCTAAGTGTAAAGGTACATCTAGGCTTTACACTTCATAACAAAACTGGGACTAATACTCAGAACATTGTGTTCTGTGAACATACCTTTCAAGATGACTTACCTAAGCTTTCTTTGATTTCAAACTTTAAAAAGTAAGAAACAAAGTTAAGTTTTGTTTTGTATTTTTTACCTGAAGCCACAAAGTTAAGTTTTTAATTATTCTATGCCTCATTTTTATCACTAATAAATTAACACTGGTGCCTACTTATTAGGGCTACTGCTAGAATCAAATGAGTTAAAGTTTGTAAAATAATGTCTCACACTTCATTAATGCTTAATAAAGATGAGATAGTAGGAATGCAAACAGCATTGTAGGAATTGTGGTAAGCATGTATCTCTTAAGAACACCTAAGTTGAACAGTATTATCTTGCTTCTTCCCTTCCATTTATAGAAAGACTGTTTCCTTCAGTATTCACTGAGGTACTGAGAGTTAGTAACATCTCTCCAATCCAAACAAAGCAGGGAATGAGGGGCCAAAGCCGTGTAATGTGAACAGAAAAAAAGAAGAAAGATATTTGAAAAGCAGTGCTCACCACAGAGTCCTTCTGTGTAGGATGACAAGTTAAACTGAGAGCCAAAATGAATGTCTACGATCCCCGTAAGATGAGTCCACTTTATGATTAGTCCAGCTGGAGTAGTAATCACATACATTGAACCAGAATCCTCTATGGACAGATCTTGATTTGAAAAGGGCAAAGGCACAACAACAGAATCCACTTCTACCTAAAATTACATAATGCATTTACACCTATTAGAACAATGCTTATGTTTTAACATACACCCTGTTGCTGTCAGTTTCTCAGAACTCCTAAATCCTTTTGTTGTTTTTGGCTGTGTCTTGTTATATTCAATATCTGGGGGCTTCCCAGGTGGCTCCGTGGTAAAGAGTCCGCCTGCCAATGCAGGGGATGTGGCATGAGCCTCGGGCTCAATCCCTGGGTCGAGAAGATGCCCTGGAGAAGGAAACAGTAACCCACAGCAGTATTGTTGCCTGGAAAAAATAAACAGAGGATCTCGGCAGGCTACAGTCCCGGGGGTCACAAAAGAGTCAGACGCTGCTCAGTGGCTAAACAACATTGCCCTTTGTTTTCTACAAAAGCAAACTTTCTTCTGAGTTATACACTATTTTAATTGGCTTCCCTCAACCAGATCTGAAAGAGACACGTGCACCCCAATGTTCATCGCAGCACTGTTTATAATAGCCAGGACATGGAAGCAACCTAGATGCCCATCAGCAGACGAATGGATGAGGAAGCTGTGGTACATATACACCATGGAATATTACTCAGCCATTAAAAAGAATTCATTTGAATCAGTTCTAATGAGATGGATGAA